GTAACCACAAAAGCTAGAAAGCTGAATATTTAGAGGGATGTTCCTCACCCACGTGTGACCCCGCAAATTTAAATTAAACCTCCCCGTACCTGCGGGTAACAAGTACAGCCCCGTAAAAGTTCTGGCGGGGAAAATTATTATCTCGGAAACCACGGAAGCTAGGAAGCGGAAATTTTATGGGCATGTCCCCCACCCACTTGCGATCCAGAAAATTTAAATTCAGAACAGTGAAAATCACCAACAAGCAATAATCGTTCTGTGGACGGAATTGAACAAAACGCATGATCGCACTGGCTAGTCTGGTGCGCGTTGCTATGTATTTTTTATGCGTTTTGTACCGTGTAACAGCAGTACAAAACGCATATTGTTACGGGATTGTCTGTGTGTGTGTGTGTGTGTTTGTGTGTGTGTGTGTGTGTGTGTGTCCGCAGCAACTTGTTTTTCTTTTTGAGAGGAAAAAGATGGGAGTTTTTTGCTGATATAGTGAGTTCACATGTGGGATCCTGACAAACTTCGTCACACAGCAATGCTGTGAATGTTTTCGAATAGAACTAATGTAAAAAAAAAACCGAAGATCAGAATGATCTGGATTTGTCCAGTTTTTTTCCTCAGCTCCTTATGTTCGCCCATTTTCTTCGTCCTCATCACCGGTGCAAATCGTAATTCAGTTCCCTTTTCATCGATCGAATCCTAATATACCATTTTGTAGTTGGTGCCAGGACTGTACGCCTGTGGAGAGACAGCAGCACATTCGGTGCATGGCGCAAATCGTCTTGGAGCAAATTCGTTACTCGATCTTGTTGTATTTGGACGTGCATGTGCTATTGAGTATTATTTTTTCAAAATTTCTTCATTTTTATTTTTCAAATTTCACCGTTTTTTTGCCGAAGTTTTCAAAGCATTTTATTGTTTTACAAGCAGCGTGCAGGATATCATTGCAACCATACGAGAAAGTAAAAAATTTATTGTGTGGACAGTGTTGCTTACTTTGCTGATAGCTGATGCATGGCACGTTTCAGTGAGTGGTTGCAGTGATATCCTGCACGCTGCTTATGAAACCATAAAATATTTTGAAAGTAAATAACCATTTTAGGGGAGAAGGGAAGGGGGGGGGGTGTAAATGATCATTCGCGCATACACTGAGCAGGCGATGGGTACTAATGAAAGGGGTGCAATTCGGAACTTGAGGGTCTGTCGTACGTTTTGTGGTATCATTAATAACGGGGGACCTCCACGAGATGGTCGTCGTATTTTTGATTTATGCTTTTGAAAAAAAGGCATTATTTTCGCAAAATATCGTCGTAACGATTGCTTAGGGATTAAGATTAGGATTAATGTCGATTGAGAAGTTTTTCAGTATACTGGAAAAAGCGAAAAAATCCGATGAGAAGATCCCGGATTTACCAAAAGGTGCGGGCGAATCAACTATTGCAAATGTGGATAGAATGCGCTTTGCGAAGGGCGACATCCCCACTGCTGCTCTTCGGCTGAAGATGCAAAAAACAATGCAACAGCATGCTGCTGTATTCCGACGTGGTGACATCTTACAGGTTTGTTTTAAAGAGGCCCAAAGCAAGAGGTCCATCTATATTGGTACCGCTTTAAACTCCCCGCCAATTGGGAATTTCTCTATGGAAGTGGGTAAATACACGTGAAAGTCAGATGACTGTAGCTTACACGCAATTGCTTGTGAATAAATTTTTTGGGAGATTCGAACACAAAATGATTTTCCTCTCGCAGACAGTGCTGGTTTTTGAAATGTTTATGGACCACAAGGGAATCGAACCACTCGTCTTCACACTCGGAAGCAAGATGCTAGACCACTGCACCACTGGGCCCCTGTGTTTTATGCATGTGCTGTATGTATGTGTGGTACCCCCATTCATATTGTGTATTGTCTGGCTGCTGCACCCGGTGTGCGGTACACCCTTTCAATAGTTGCCGGCTTTTCGCAAGACTTCCGCGACATTTTGTAATTGGGCCTAATAGCTGAAGTTGCCGGAGTTGCTGGAAATGGCTGGCGTATATAATGAGACTTTTTTTTTGTTATCGGATCTCCGTTTGGCGGTCGGGATGATATTCGATTTATACGTTTGAACAGTTCTGAAGCACTTACGTGAGCAACTGTCATGTCTGTACTACTCTGTGGATGCGAAACTTGAAATATCTCGAAAAAGAGAATAGAAAATAGGCTAGTAATGACAAACAGATTAATTAGATAGGATGCTATCAAACAAATTGCAATGGGCCTACTGGTGCGGCGATAACTGAATGGAGGGCGATCGAGGGTGCGGAAGAGAGTTTTCTATAGTTTTAGCACTGCTACCTATGTCGCTAGGGGGAGGGGGAGAAGGTTGCCTGTACCAATTTTTTAAAAAAGTTTTTTATAAAAGTCATTTTTAAAAATTTTGAAAGTCCATGTTCTCTTTTTTCTTTTTCTTTTCCTTTCTTTACATTATTTTCTTTTTAACTACTACTACTACTACTATCTTTCAGATTCATTTATCTGGGATTCCAAAAGCGTTATCAACTTAATTTTCTTCAGCTGTAACCGTGTTTTTTCGTTTTCTCGTTTTTAAATTGAAGATTTTTAGGAAGGAATCAAGAAGATGGAGTCTCTTTTCAATGAGCAAAAGCACCTGAAGACTACGGATCGTGGTCTTGTCTGGAATTCAGATCTTGTCGAAACTCTTGAGCTACAGAACCTGATGTTAAATGCTATGCAGACAATTGTTGCTGCTGAGGCTCGGAAAGAGTCTCGAGGGGCACATGCTCGAGATGATTTCCCGGTATGTTATATGACTGTTACTGTCTGCATGTATGGGTATAATCTCCCCGATCTGAATAAAGTTGTTGACGATTATCTCGAGGTTTTTGGGCAGAGATGCAGATAATCTCGAGTCAACAAAGAGAAGAAAGCTCTGTGAAAAACGGATAAAGACCCGGTGCAGACTTAAGCTGTTAAAACTTACGCATAAAAACTTGGTAATATAGAATTTAGCAATGCTGTGCGAGCTAATTTGTCGAGGGGGGGGGGGGGGG